CGAGTGTGCCTCCCTCGACGCCACTGACTGCCACGGCTGAGGATAACGACCGGTCAGCATGAGCAGTAATTCTAAGTGATGAGTCGGCCACCGCCGGACCAAGTGAACCCAACCAGTCTACTCAGCCACGCACCAGACATGCAATTTGTTAAGGGATCGTGCGGCGCCACAAACCAGATTTCAGGTACAATAAGAATGATTGGCTAAAAATGTATGAAATTTGGCACTTTTTGTGCGTGTTGAAAGTTCATCTATAATTCGGTTAAGAATTTGCATCATTAAGAACACGATGACTTGGAAATAAAATGAATGACCAGTCATCGAAAAAAATGGTTTTCGTTTTATTTTTATTTTGGAACAATAGTTATAATTTACTCTCGTATAGGTCGCCAAAATTCACTGTGATTTATCTATTAACTACATATTGATATAATTTCATTGGAGCACTATAACAACCATGCGGCAGGCGTGTCGGCAAAAGTATGAGAACACAGCAAGGAATAATATCAAGACTATGAGACGCTCCCTACTGTGCGGCAGAACTACCCTGCTAAAAATATAGGCAAGCATTTCGGCCGCCATTTGATTATAAACGGTCATCCACGAATAATTCTGACAGGAGAGACAACTGGAAAAATTCCACCATGTCCCTAATTATGGTTTAAGCTCCTAGCGAGTCTCGACCACACCCACTGGCCGCTGTGTGGCTAATACTAAAAGATAATAATATCAGGGACTGAAGAAGAGCTATCTATAGAACCTTCAACTAAATGACAGCTGCCGCCACGTAACAATAGCCTCCATACACCAAAGGTTGTGACAGAAAGGAGGAGAAGGGCATTGTGGGTGCGTATGAAAATAGCAATGGCTCGCGTGAGTAGCAGCTTACAAACAGCCATCCTAGATAGCCAGCAACAGCGACCGTAGCAACGGTGATACAAAAGTGCAACGAAAATGTCACAGAAGCCGAATTAGAAAAGCGCAGTAGTAGCAATGAAAAAATCAAGAGGGCAGCAACAGTAGTATAAAAGAGACAGTAACACCAGTACAGAGACAAGTAACACTGAAGTATCAGTTGTATTTCTATCGAAGCAATAACGCTGCAATTAAAAAAGTGCGAGCAATAGTAGCGCATATTACAACAAGTTTGTGCCGGTATTTGCAATACTGGATGAATGCACAGATATAGATAAAAATAGCAGTATTAAGAGCAACAACAGCAACACACGGCGCCCCCAGTGACCCCAAAACAAGGCCTCGACCGTGACTCAGCTCCCTACCAGGCAGCGAAGGCAGACCATCCGGTGAGCAGAGAAAGCCTGACAGCGTCGTTCATTTTATTGATCTTATCGCCTCGCTGCTTTCGAGCACTAGGATGGCTGTGGTATTGACCACACACTCGCCATGTGAACGGATTTACGTTTTTTACGACATTTACGACTAAGAACTCGAGTGTCCTAGTATCGTTCGACACTGAACACAGCACTTAAGAATAAGTGCGGGCAACGACAATTATTCATCACCAAATCAACACAGAAAGAAGTCGATCCCAGAACCATATTCTCACAAACTTTTTCATAACCTCTTGATTCAATTAGCCGATCGCAAAAGAACATCCTATAATCATAGATGCTAACTCTCCATATACTGACTGTAACTCTAGTTATCAGGACTATAAGATACGAATTTCATTGACTAGATTGGTTTATCCGCAGGCGTAGGCTTAATCAGAGTCCAGAAAAGTTATTGAGAATGTGGCTCCAGGTTGAGAGCTGTGGTTGAGCCCCAAGTCCCGCCTCCACTTGACCTCGAGACTGGAAGAGAGACACGCCGGCATTCACCAGCGATCGTAAAGAATTTTTATGGTAATTATGTAGCGTGCGAGCCGCGGCGCGCGCAGCCACCTCTGGCGCCGGGTCCTGAAGATGAAAGAGACAGATTATTCTGCCTCGTAGGAGAGATTATTTTTTAACCATAGCTTCTAAATCGCCGGGCACTAGACGGCCGCCTATGAATCTGATATCGATATTAATAGGCTTATGGCCAAAATGAAAAAATAAGTATCCAAAAGGAATAGGATAGGACAAGACTTGCAATCATTTGAGATCTGCGTACAGAATGGGATTCTGATCTTGTAAAATCCTTTACTCTGACTGCCTCCCTTTGAAATCAATTTTGGTGTTCACGCGGTTGATAACTTTGTGGAGCTTTGCTGCTGTCGGCTTGCTAGATGTGTCCATCTAACCTAAGACATGAAATAAATCGTCATCAACAAATCATGACATCAATTTCGTACGTATCATAAACGATAATAACTTCATTACTGCGTCACAGGTAGAATAGAATCCACGATAACGAGGATGTCTTATCTATGCGAAGAGCTTATCTCGAGAGGAGGCAACCTCCATCCTCCGACCAAAAAAAAGCTCGGCTTTCGTACTCTTAAAACTCAGCAGGTCTAGCGGAGACCATGGGAGACCTACGGTCGGCAACAGAATATTCTGCGATAGCGGTGAACTGAGTATTGGCCGACTACTTAGTATCTATTGATTTTGTGGCCATTCTAAATAAAGTTGCGAAATTCCATTACCATATTTTTTAATGTTATGAGGATCATACACTGAAAAATATATAAGTAATCAGGATCGTTATAATCCACTTCCAGAGATCATTCTTCAATTAAATTACACGTCTCTTGAAAGGTCGAGAAACACCGAAGACAAATTGAAAACAATTTGTTTTTCAAGAGGAACTCGCTCACGGTGATATCTTGACCTTGTGTTGAGCTTCTAAATCTAAAGCATCACTACCAAATATCAATGGATCGCGGAGCTCCTTATGAGATGTTATCTGCTTGGTATTCAGAGCTGCGATGTTCACGAGATTTTCTCCGCGTTCTGAGTCACCAATTTTTCCTTGACTCGAGGCCTGCAGAGAAGCCATCCTGCTATTTTTTTCATTGCGAATATTAATCATATAGTTTAAATAAAACAATGCAAATCAGTTTTAAGCATTGATAAGTTGACAGTTATTGAGCATTCAACGTAGATTGCAGATAATTTCGAAGTTATTCATTAATCAACATAGATTGCAGAAAATCGGTAAGTGATTGTGCATTCAACGTAGGGATATTCAAAAGGGTCTCCTCGCGGTTCGTCACGTCTCGTGTGCTCACTAGACTATTTGGTGTTCTGAGGAGAGTCCCTGGGCGAGTTGCATGAACGGCTACGTGACTAGCAACACGACCGCTTGACGCTTCTCCAGACCCGAACAGCCAGATGACTCATATCTATGACCGGGCTTATTATAATCTTCTAATTTTAAAACGGTATGTATCTTAGCTAATAATTCGGTACAATATTTCGATGTCGATTTTCCGGTTAATTTCATAATTTTCTTACGGGTTTTAGTCACGTTCTGAAAACCGGGGGAGTTAGGTTCATAACGACATACGTTGAATAACGACGCAGAATGAGTTGCGACTCTCCTCTTTCAAAAATAAAAAATATATATAACTCAGTATTCACTGCAGTGAGTGACAGACAGCGCATTTTCTCGTCGACGAAAACATGAAGTCACGGACAGACATACGGACAGACGAACGGACATGGCGAGCACAATACTGCATTCTTTCCATAAATGAGAAAATGCGCTAAAAATATAATGGAAAAATTTATTAATTAACTACTCTGGTCTCTAAACTTTCTATGGCAAATTATCCCGATGGAAGAAAAAATCTATTCCGCAGCTCGTGAAAAAGTTTTCCAGTTGTAATTGTAAATTAAATAGTTTGAGCGCTTTGAGTCATTCAGAGTAGCCAATATGAATAGAATCTTTCTCGTTGCGTTTTGAATCCATTCAGAAGTTACTCCTCATCAAGTGAGTCGCAATTCAATAATTTTAACAAGCAGCATCTATGCGTACAACAGGTACTGCATTTACTGGAATGAAACATAATATTTTTTAAGAAACAAATGGTCAACAATCTTCTAATAACATACAGAGCTTTTACTCTTTAAAGATTGGCTTCAATTTGTTCCTCGATATTTCAATCAAAACACGAAATTATAAGCGACATAAATCCTATGGGTGGTTCCAGTTGATTTGACGAGACTCATGATTATTTAATTAGTCAATGAATGTCCGATCGACAAATATCAAGTCAAGCCTAACCTAACCTATCCTAGAATTTGAAACAAGAAACACCAGGGGTCACGGCAATAAACTAAAAAAACTGCGTTGTAACACATCCACGCGATAACATTTCTTCTCGCTTCGAGCTCGAGTCGGTGACATGTGCGATGTGGAACAGCGACAGCCTCATTGATGGCTGATGGCATCGTTGACGCTCAGAGTATGAACGCCTTCAAGAACAATTAAACAAAGCTATGCAGGAGCATATCTTCAGTCTTGAAATGCCTAGCACCATACGACCTGGCAATAAGTCCAGCAGCTATCTCAAACAATCGTTAGTTATTGAAAGATCGGGTTCAAAAGGCCGAATCACTTATGGAATCGAGTCACGATAAGTACGGTAAAGTACCTACAAGAATAGGCAACATGCCATGGGCCTATTTCTTCATTGTCGACACTTCTATTCTATTCTATAAGGCTATAACACCTCAAACTTAAAAAGTATATAACATAGGTAAATGACACTTTCTTGTGTATTTGAAGCAAGAGAATTTGAATAGGGGATGATATTTGTCAGCAGCATGATCTATGAAGTGCAAACTTGAGTCACTGAGTCAGAGTTGCTAGTCAGCAACAAAATATGATCAGCGTCCCTGAGTGATGTTTCCGAGCAATGACCATTGACCAAAACTATGGAATTAAAATGCACGGATGTGATGATATTGATTGATTAGAATGTTGATGATCGATCCCTTGATTATTAGGTTGATATAAAAGGAAATAACTGATGATATACATCACATTTATCGTTTTCATATGGATTTCCATTTTGATTCACTATGGATACGTAAAGACAATTGGCTTACCTGTAAATCAGACATATCGGAAGAAGAAAGTGTCAGCAGTTTTGGTAAACAAATTGATTGGAGGTTGATAACGTTACGCCGTGTAATGGAAGCAACGAGAGAACGGAGAGGAACTGAACTTAACTCCACAGAGTTCAAACCAACACTGATGACAACAATGCGTGGCGTGGCTTGCGGTGACCGGCAGCCGTTGCTGCCGCAACTCTCGACAACTGCGCTGATGTTGGGACAAGCGCCAGCAACCGAGCAAGACACATTAGCAGCCCACAAGCCCCACATGCATGTTTCTTTCAGTAAAACACCAGTAATAATTATCTCGATGATATATTCATTTACATAGAGATAAAAAATAAAGATTTTTGAGCTCTTACACAAGGCAAATCTTTCCTAAAAATAAAAACAATCAAGCCATCCATATATGATCTGGTATGAATAGTATTTGCATTCACTCTGTGGGTAGCAGAGCCGTAAGCGTTCCTACAATGTTCAAATTCTCCCATACGCTGTTTAGCAACCAAAAATTAATTTTAAAAATAACTCACACTCACGGCATTGGACTACAACGAAACTTTCGTGACGATTTTCCATATCATGTTTCCCATGCATAATTTGGTCAAACCGAAACCGATCTTGACCGAATTAATAATGGAGACACTCATTGACATTATGCTCGGGATAGCATAGATAAAATCGGTTTTATCCGCATCGATATTAATTACAGTGCTAAACGCAAAATTTTTTCCAAGTTTTTAACGCATATTGCTGCCAAATCGAAACCAATCTTGACATAATTAACAACGACACTAATTATAGACACTGTGCAAATTAATTTTTTTAGCATCTTGAACGCTAAGTTTTGCAGGTTTTTCGTGCTTCCATTTTTTAAATTATATCTGTCCCCTTGGTTTTCACGCAGTGCCCGAATTGCTAAGTTTTGGCCCCTCTGCGCCCCTAAATAATTTAACGTTGAGGTCTTAGCCTAATGCCAATAAATAGCATCATTCCTAATTAGATCAAAATCAGTTTCAATTTGACAAAATTATGCGCAAAAACCGGCTAAACATTTCGTTTAGCGCGCCATATAAGATTGGTTGTGAAAAAAAAATCGATGCTTGCATGAGCTTAATGTCAATAAGTTTCTCCATTTTTAATTTGGTCAAGATCGGTTTCGATTTAACAAACTTTCCGTAGCGGGTAAAACCTGCTACGGAAATTGATCCCATAAGTATCGAGGTTGTCTAAAAAATGCAAAAAACGCAGAGACAGATTATCGCATCAACTCCTTTGAGTGTATGGTAAGGTGATATTTTAATCGGGAAGACATTTAGCTTAGCTTTTGTTGACTGACGCGGTGAAGAATAATCATTTGACTACTGAAATTTTTTCAAATGTAAAGCTATTTCAAAAGTTACGTAGTGAGAGGATTACATGGAACTTTTTGAAGCAAGATATATACAAATAAAAATATTTGAAGAATAACAATTTCAAAAAATATATATATAGTTATTTTAATTTAAATTCTTGTCGTTCGCTGAATAATTGTTATATTAAATTATGCTTATAGTTAAATATCATAATAATTATTTGTTACTTTTTATGTTGAATAAATATGTGATGAACTATGTTGGGTCAATATAATTTCTGCTTAAAAAAAAGTAAAATAACTCGTACGTCTGCCATCCAACGCATGAGATCTGTGGGATTTTCTTTTCATTAGCTGGAAGCTGACACCCTGACTGAGTCATAGTCATTCACGTTCATACAAACGTCGTTTAAACTTATAACCCGTTATTAATCAAACGTCATTATTTGAAAAAACGAATTTACCAAGTGTTGTGCGAAATAATTTTTTTCATTATGCCTTTCCATTCTAAAATTCTAGTAGTAGTAGAGCTTGTTCTAATCAGTTTTTCTGTGTTAGCTCAGTCTCAAGATCCATCAGGTATGTTTTATTATAGGTAGGTAGCCTATATAAAATGAAAATTCTGTCAAGTTGTAACAATCTAAACTCTTGTTACAGATTTTGTATAGGTTAACTTGCATAATTGCATTAAATGATTGATGATTTCTGGCCAACTGGCTAAAATAACTGGCTTTGCCAGGTTGGACTCTTTGTTGAAACTTGAAAGCAGAAAGCTCATTGTCATGCATAATAGTACTTAGGCTGCTGCAGGCTAAGTAGAGTAGCCTAAACGCCGTATATTCCGACACTTTAAGGACGCATCGAGCAGTATGGAATTCTGTATAGGTAATATATTATCATGTTAACATAATAAAATGTATCGAAAACTTACCACCTTACACCTTCCACCAAAGTGACAATTGATACTCATTACACTGAGCTCGTCAGATCAGGAACTGCGGACACCCGGACAGCTGCGCTTCCTTTATCTCGCTTGCGTGTGGTTCAAAAACCGATAAATAGTCGGCGACTCTTCCCAAATGCAAACACTAGTCGTGTATGCGCATAGTGGCAAAGCAGAAAGTTTTTTAGACTCTGTCTAAAGTTCATTTTTGAGTCCTATAAGTAGACCATTAAAGTATCTTGGATACCAGCATTATCATACTTAAGAAATTGGTAAAAATCTTGAGTAAATGAGGAAATTGAAAATGAACTGATTCTAAAAAATCTCTGGTTTGTCACTATGTGTATGCGTATCGAGAAATTTTTTGTAATGAATATGTTCCAAAATAAAATAAAAATTACGTCATCTTTCGCAGAAAGTTCTCACAATTTCATCGATACCCACAAACATTGTGGCAAACAAGTGATTTTTTAGAATCAGTTCATTTTTAATTTCCTCATTTACTCTAGATTTTAACAGATTTCTTATGAATGATAATTCTGGTATCCATAGTGACAAACCAGAGATTTTTTAGAATCAGTTCATTTTTAATTTCCTCCTTTACTCAAGATTTAATGCAATTTCTTATGTGTGATAATGCTGGTATCAATGATACTTTACTGGTCTACATATATGACTCAAAAATGAACTTGAGGGAGAGTCTAAAAAACTGTCTGCTTTGCCACTATGCTGGTATCCAAGATACTTTTCTGGTCTACTTATAGGACTCAAAAATGAACTTGAGAAAGAGTCTAAAAAACTCTTTGCTTTGCCACTATGCCCACAAAGTTCTCGAATCCACACGAAATGATGGGAAAAACTGCTAAACTTTCACGGCGTATGGCAACATTGTGTTGACTGTTGACATTAGACAAGACGGTGTCAAAGACACCTTTTTTTGGTCTTGTGAAGTTCGATTTCACAATAATTAGACTTGATCCACATTCCATACTGACATTTAAATGATGGAAATTTGTTTCAAATTATAAATACCAATTAATACGCGTACAGACATACATTTTTCATGTTTTTTGCCTATTTTGTCAATATTGTCTATATAATTAACTTCACCTCAGATTCTAAATGATTTCTTCTGCCATCCCGCGTTTTCGAACGTTTTGTGTCTTTTAGAAAATTTTCGTTGTTTAACATGGGAAACTATTTCATTATATAAAACATAGAGCACGTACCATATAGTGCATTAATAATACAAATTAATTTAATAAAAATTGATGTGTATAAGAGACAGTATATGTACGAATTATACATTGGTTGTATGTAGGTATCACTTCATGCGATAAGTATCTTGAGTAGTAAGTAGTATCTTGATTAAGATTTGGCCGTGTTATCTTCCCGTGTGCTTATTGATAAATATGAATGACGGATTTAAAGAAATTATTTTATTATCTAAAATTTCCCTCATATTTTACAATACCTTACGAATTACAAC